GCGCCCCAAGCCCACGCCGCCCCCGTCTACGCTGCCGCACACTCGCACGGCGCCTATGTGCCCTACGCCCATGGCCACGCCCACGGACCCATCCATATCCCGGTGCTGACCCACGGCGGAGTGCCCGTCGACACCCCGGAGGTGCAGCACGCCAAGGCCGCCCATGCCGCCGCCCACGCCGCCGCCGCCCACAATGCCGGCGGACACGGACACCACCTGTACAAGCGATCGATCTATGGCGGAGGCTGGGCCTACGGCCAGGCCGCCCACGTGCCGCTGACCCACGGAGGCGTGCCCGTCGACACGCCCGACGTGCAGGCCGCCAAGGCCGAGCACTATGCCGCCCACGCCAAGGCCCTGGGTCAGGTGGCCCATGCCCACGGAGGCGCCGTTGAGACGCCCGAGGTGCAGCACGCCAAGGCCGCCCACTTCGCCGCCCATGCTGCCGCCCGCTCCGGACACGGACACGCCCTTGCCCCGATCGCCCACGGTGGCTACCATGTGCCCGTGATCCACAACGGAGTGCCAGTCGACACGCCCGAGGTGCAGCATGCCAAGGCCGCCCACTACGCCGCCCTGTCGCAGGCCTCCGCCCACGGAGGAGCCTCCCACGGATCGTCCTGGGACGACGGCCACTACGACGGACGCTGGGAGCAGAGCCACAGCAGCAGCAGCAGCCACGGCGGCTACGCCACCGGCTACGCGCACAAGGGACCGATCCACATACCGGTGATCCACAACGGAGTGCCCGTAGAGCCCGTTGAGGTGCAGCACGCCCGTGCCGCGCATCTGAATGCGGTGGCTGCCGCCGGACATGGAGGCGCCGTCGGCCATGGTGGCTATTACGGCGGAAACGGGCACGAGGATGATGGCCAGTACCATGCGCACTACGACCACTACTAAGTCCAGGGGTCGGCTTCACTTCCGATCGACGACGAGCATCTCTATACACTCTGCCTAACCGACTACCGACTGCCAACGTTGCGTATGCGTAACGTTGCATTGCGCATACGCACGCAAGCGCGACTTTAAAACAGCATCCATCTATCTATCTGTCTATCTGTCCTATCACTATAACTATCTTTCACACTCAAGCAACCAACGAACACACGGAAAAGTACGGAAAAGCGACTACACACGGGAGATTGAGGCCATTCGGAAGATGGCTTCATTGCCCGCTTGTTTTCGATGGATCTGAATTCAAGCCCAGGTCACAGCACACACATCTACCTACTTACACCTCTCTGAACTAGCCTTTCTCCTCGTCTTTTCACATTTCTACACAATCTATGTTCTTCTATTACTTCCATTGAGAAACGCTGTATGAGTATGTTGTAAATAACTGTTGTAATCTTTATGTATCTGACCAGATATAAATCTATATTTTATATGAAACTGCAAACAGACAAATAAACTGCAAAAATGTATTTGATCACATTTTAAAGTGTTTGGAATTGGCGGTGGGTTATAATATATATATAATATAATATAATATAATTTGGTGGATTTCATACTCTGAAATGCCATACAATTCATTTGGAAGATACATTTATACATTTTGTTGATAGATGATTCTTTATTTATGAATTGTATGTTCATATGCATTTCAGAGTTTCCGGTGGAATGTGCCCACATTGCAATTTAAAGTTTAAACAACAATTGTTTCTATATTGATGTAATTTATTCATCCTAATAATTTGCATTTATTTATTGATATGAAGCTTAGGAATTCATATACGAACGTATGTGGCAACGAAATACAAAGTTTAATAATTTGACAAATATTTTTCCCTTAATATTAAAAAGTAAAGGCAACTTGTCAATCCTCGACTTTTGGATTGACAGATATGTTGTTAGCTTAAAAGCGTATAAATTGCATGTATTAATTAAGAGTTGAATAGATGACCCAAATTTGGGTTTCATGAAATCATGTCGCCACTAATTAAACCATTGACGTGACTTTGTGACTGGTTGAACTTAATTTTTGTACCCGCATTTACCAAAGTTTTATGTTATTCCTATTGTTTTGCCATATTAATTAAGAGGCCATCCTGTTATGATGCTCTCGTGCGTCTGTGTGAAATTCCATTTCCCCATCGGACGTTTTCCAGTCACAGGTCAACTGCCGCACCAGTCGAAAAACAACCATCTACACAGAGTGACTGCATTGAAAGGAGTATAAATATTTGCAATGCAACGATTGAAATTTGCATATCCACACATGTACCGACGGGTGAATGAGCTTGTGGGCTGTATGGATGTGCCCCTAAGGGGGAATTCGGTGGGTGGAGGGCGTGGCAGGAGTCCCACCAGGGGATAGCTGCATGTGGCACGACACCGAGCACTGAGCACTGAGCGAGCAAACAATCAATCTATGCTGTATGAGTCTTGTATTTTTTGCCCAGCCGCCTGCAAAATTGTGTGTCTTATGTGGGGCGTGTGTCATTCGACTCTAGGTGACTCGAACTATTGGCGTAGTGAAGCTGGGCAAGCAATTTGAGTAAATAGATTGCCAGGCATTTGTCAAGTCGGAATGGAATGTGCTAACCTCCCCCATGAAGAGGGCCAAATGTCAGCCCCTGGGCCATAAATTCAAGTGCAACCTTTCGGCCCAATCAGCGACCTTGGGCGAATGGGGCCTAGTTTATTAGGCGGGCAGGTCACGGGCTAGCTAATTAAAAATTAACATCCCTTGGCCGGCACGCAAAGGTCAGTTGGCAGTGGGCAGGTGAAAATGTGGGCAGCGATTTTCCATTTTCCACGCATAAACAAGCGCGGGCTTGGCCCAACTGGAAGTATCGTAAATTTCGGGAGCCATCTTGGGATGGGTCGCCTCGCCTCGCCTCGCCTGCTATTTAATTAAGCATGCATTGGCATTTCGATTTACGACCAATTGTCGGCTAGCAGTGGCAATAAGTGAAATCGGTTTTAAAAATATCTGTGGACGACCTTCGGGGCAGGTGGGGCTCAAGCTATTCGACGTATTCGATCCGGTTACTGACCCGCCAGCTAATTTAATTATACGCCAGGCAGCCGGCCATAAAAGCCCAAATGGTCCGATTTACTAGCTGTGCGATTGTTTATCCGCAGTTTAGAATATTTGGCACCCGGCGAGAAACGGTAGCCGTTCCAATGGCACCACCGCCCAAGTTTTGGGGCGTGGTCCGTTCCCGCCAAAAGTGAATGTGCATCGGCATCGGCACTGCTGCCAACTCCAACTAATTTCGGCCAAACAATATTATTGCAAGTGCTAGCGTTGACTTGCACTCACCATTTGCTTCTCATTCCGTGCTTTCAAAAATTTCATTTGGAATGAAGAATTGCATTTGCATGTCCGCCAGTTGGGTAAGCCAATCGAAGCCCGATGCGGTTTTGGCCAGAACTGTGGCCAGTTTTATGGCATTGTGGCATTTGGCCCTGCGCCCAGGGCCCGGATTTGACTACAACTGCCACACAGAGCCGTTAAGCAAACAAACTCTGAGCCATGAACACAATCCATAGACGATTTAAGCCCTGGCATTCGGGTTGCTCTTTCGGTTTTGGTTTATTTTACGGTGGGCGTTGCATGAGGTGCATTTTGCATATCTTTGGTCAAACGGCTTTTATGTTTTGCATCAATTTAATTTATGGTTGAGGCGTTAATTTATGGCCTAATTGATCTGATTTGAATACATGTTGCAATAGAAGGAGTGGCGAAACACATTGGTAATTGTTGTAAAAACATATAAATTGCTTCTCCGATGGGAAAGGATTAATATTCTCTTATACAGACAGAACAATTTGGCACACTTAATAATGTATGCATACGACAATGTTCATTTCTTTTCTTGATAATTATTTGATATGTTTGTTTCTAAACTTTTTTATTGACTTCTACATTATCAACCAAAAAATCTAATGGTTAAAGTACATTTTTAAGTTGGTAGTGACAAATTAAGTTCTTTGAACTAAATCATCTTGCGGTTAGAATGAAAAATGAACTAAATTATGTCATTGATATTTTGGGCAGTTTCTAATAGCAAGGTCATAGATAAGTTTTCACAACCCTATTGTGGGAAAAAATCATATTTGCGAATCCTTTTTATTGTTTTCACTTTTGTAAAAAGAAGAATCTGTTAACGTATGTATATTCCTTAAAAAAGTACTCCATAAGGCTTTATGTTGGTGAAAAGTTGTTTTTTTACCCTCTTTAAAAGGATACCCCAATTTCTAAGCAATCCACATTTTTCCGTGAGTTGTGGATAAGTTCTTGCTAATACTTTGTCGCAGTTGCGAAAAGGATTCATTCAATTTGTGCGTCGTTTCGAAAACCTCTTCACAAGTTGTGCCAGCACACACGGTAAAGGCAGAATCATTGTTGCAAAGAAGATAGTGCAACGCTGGAAATTCAATTCGCGCAATTTGTGCAACAAAGTAAGCCACACGAAAACGAGAAAATCGAGAAAACGCATGCATCGACGGAGATGGGGCAAGTGTGTAGGGAACTGACATGGAATTGGTACAACTAAAATCAGATGAGATTAAATTGTTTGCAGACTTTAAACGCAGATTGCCAAAGGTTATCTCATTTTCCAGGCTGTTTGACCTTTTCTCCACATGAATATTCAGTTACACCCACCCACACTTGATACAATGTAACCTGAAAGATATCTGCTTTGTTCCCTCTTAACATTACCTGATTGACATTCAATTACCTTTTTTAGCCTGGAAAAACGACTAGGGAAAATCATAGCAAATTACACTGCCTACTTTCGGGCATAAGTTATGCGTAGCTAAACCTGACATTTGAAAGCTGCTGTCAGAGCTTTTGTACAACACAGTTGCTAATTGGCGGATGCTGATGTTGTTCCAATATTTATTCAGGCCAAATATAAAACACTTCGGTGAACGAGAGCTGAAAGCTTTGACCGACCCATTTTCATTAGGCAAATATATTTAATGAAGGCTAGGTTTGACCTTTGCTTGCCAAGTTCGCCAGGCAATAAAATTCCAACAACCAGGACTTTTTAATCGAATTTTAATATTCGCTTGCCTTAGCTTAGGGTAAATGTGAGCTCCAAAAACATTGACTAGCTTTAGGACTAAGGAAAACTTTATCGGCCATTAACAAGGGTTATAGCATGTCGGACTTCTACAGAGTCTGTCTGCAAATATAAAAAAGAACTAGATTTTCTGTGGGTATCTCCACTTACACCACATTCTGCACTGGATCGGGCCAGACGGGAGCAGGCAGAAGCACGGCATGGACGGGAATCGCTGCTGGAGGTGGCTGGGGAGCAGCTCCGCCGGCGCCACCTCCTCCTCCGGCTCCATTTCGAGCCCCCTTTCCACCCTTGCCGCCCTTGCCGCCCTTCGAGCCATCCGGACCGTCGGGCCCGTCGGCTCCGTCGGCGCCATCCTCACCATCCGGCTGTGGTCCCGCCGGACTCGGTGCCCCCGGCTGGCCATTGTCGCCGCTCTGGCCGGATGTGGCTGTTCCGCCGCCGCCACCGCCTCCACCAGCTCCTCCGCCGCCGGCACTGCCTCCGCCACCGGCTCCGCCTGCTCCCCCGGCTCCGCCGAGCACGCCACCAGCCTGACCCGCCTGTCCGGCCTGTCCGGCTCCGCCAGCCTCCGCTGGAGCTGGGGCTTCCTGGGCGTCAACCGATCCGGAGCCCTCGGAGCTGAGGGAACCACCATCATCGGCCACGCTTCCACTGCCATCCTGACTTATTTCCGGCTCCGAGTACTCACCCTCCAGGCCTGGCTGTGCCTGCCACGAGCCATCTGCCGGGGGCAAGGGCGGCTTGTAGGAGCCATCGTCCTCGGGTGGAGGAGGCTGGACCAGCAGGAGTATGGGACCTGGCGGAGACAGCAGATAGGTGCCGGGGGAAGGGAGCAGCGGCAAGGGCACCACATGGGCGGCAGCCTGGTAATTTATGGCCAAAAGGCCCAGAAGCAGGAACTGGAAGAAGAATCAAATAAGCTGCATACGCTACAATCACTATCAATCCACAACCACTTACCACAGTGGTACGCATCTTAGTGAACTACTATACAATCAATCCCTTTGGGTCCGTGCTCGACTGTTTCCACGGCGGGACTGACTCGTCTGGCAATGCCCTAGGCCAGCTTTTATACGGTGAGTACGGATCGCCGTCTGCGAGTGCTGATTAATTGCGAGTGGCGGCACTGACTATACTTGGAAGCTGCTGCCACTTTGCATGGCAGCTGCATAAATCAAGTGCTACCAACGCTAATTGCGGCAACAACAATTACGAGAGACAATGATCTTGTTAATGTGTGCAATGTGCACCATAGGTCCGAGCAGCCGATCAAAAGACGCAGTTGGAATTACACCTGAACTTGGCCTTTTGATTGACACGGACCAGTCTTCGGAACGTTGGCTGTCCTACATGAAGCCATATACGGAGTTGACGACAACTTCGACAACTTCAGGGTTATCACTTTTGCAGAAGCAAAAGTAAAACAACTTATAATACCCTTAATAATATTAAAAACTGATTACATCTATGAGAATTACATGTTTTATTTTAATTCCTGCATTAAGCAACATACGGGGTTTTAAAGTCAAGCTTATCACTTACAAAACAGCATTCAGTAACCAATTAAAAATCGAAAAGAACCTTGTTACCCTCTAAAGCTAATGGCCCATCGATTAATTAGGCTATATAAGTATTTGCAGTATTTCATACTTCTTTAAAATGAAATATGTATGAATGAATAAGCTATGTATGGTTGATATTTGTTGAAGAGCATGATTCTTGTCATGTGAATTTTTAGTTTTCATATGGATTTCAAGGTGCTCTTATAGTTTCAAAAGCTATAGGGTATTGCAGCTATCGACTGGACTGAAGCGCTCCCACTGACCCCAGAATCCAGCATCCAGACCAGATTCTTGAAATTTCTCACTGCTTAATCTGCTAATAAATAATTGAAATGGGTTTTTAAGTGCACCAACTGCTGCTGCCTCGATGTTTTGCCGCGGATTAGATAAAACGCCATTCATGGCAATGAGGCGTCAGTTGGCAATCCGAGCTTCGCAGGGAGGCTGACCATTGTGGACCAGTTGGCGTTGACTCAATAGTCCGACACGATTGCATGGCTCGTAGATATTGCCGGACCGGTTTGAACTGTCAGCGCGTCGAAATGTGTATCACAGTGCCTGCGAAAATTAAACGCCAGGCCAAATAGCCAAATAAACTGGCCGGAGCGAAGAGCTCCTTGTGGCTCGGGCTCCACATAAATGATGAGCAACTATTAAACTCTGTGCAGCTTCAACTAAATCAATTAAGCCAACAAGCTGGGAACAACAACAGCCCACAAGGAGCTGCGCCAGCAGGCAGCTAAACAAAGTAATGGAAACGAGGCCATTATCATCATCGTCCTGTGACGCATTCCCATCCACGCCATCCGCCTTCCTCCCAACTCCCATCTCCAATCCCCTGGCCTCGTCATCGTTAGTATTTAGCAACACAAGCAACAACATTACTCACAGGAGCCGGGCGAAGAGCACCAGCAACGCAGGAAATGGACTCGTCTAGCTTGAGGTTGGGGTTCGGGGCGTTTTGTTTGCCCATCCGTGCGGTTCCCAGTGTATGTGGGTGTTTCGCTACACTCGTCACAAAAATTGAACACCTTTAAAATAGTGAACAAATAAATACATCGAGTATATATGATGTGTTTAAGATTTTAAAATTAATTCCTATTTAACTTTGCCTTTCTTTGTTTTTTTTTAAGAAACTCTAAAAAGATCTTCTAAATACACCTCTTCATTATTATTACTAATTTCTCATATGATATTATATAATAGACTCTGAAAGTTTTTTTACGTTCTTAATGCAAGTCTCTCATCAGTTTCAAAATGAGTTTATTTTGAGTTTAAACTTCAAAGGAAATTGTATATATATTTTATGAAAAGCACATTATGTTTACAATAGATAAAGAGCAATATATATTTATTCAGGTAAAACTAAAAGTTGGTCCGTAAGTTGTAGAATTTCGATCTGTTTTATAACTGAACTTCGAAAATACGTATTTCCCCGAAACAATTACTGAAAATGTAAACAGACAATTCCATTTAAAAAATTCTTCCTGAAGAGTGAAGAGGTCTGAAGCCAATTTTAATTTACAGCACATATTTTTTGAAACTCAGATAGACTACCATAATTTAAAATAATCAAGACTATTTAAGTTTTTTGATGACAATTTCTATTGAAAAATTAGCAATTATGTTTTTAAGAGTGTATTTTCTTTGCGAAAGTCTTTGCCAATTAGACAAGGAAAAAACTTTGGAACGCGACTGGCACGTGGAATTATGCCAGCAGTGTGGACTGAGATTCCTTTTGCTGGCGCTGCAAAAATTCAATGTCCACATGTCGATTAATCAAGGCGAAGACGGACCGCAGATGCAGACAATGCGCTCGAATGTGTTGCCAATAAACGCGATGGACAACCGTCAAAGATCCATCCATCTATTCCCTGAGCTCCCGCGACTCGACCACGCCTGGGGCAGCATATAAATAGTTTTCCTGCGGCTTCAAAGCTCCGCCATTTGTTTTGCCGCCTGACAGACAAGTCAAGTCAAGTTGCCCGGGACAGCCATTTGTATCCCGCTCCCTGGGCGGCTTTGCTTGTGTGGTTGTGGGCCACGAAAGGACGAAAAGGTCTTTCCCTACGTGCCTGGAATGTTGGGGACGGGGACGGAGAAGGAGACGGGGATCGAAAACAGTTTACAGAAATGATTACCACTGGGCGAATGCGTAATGGGCAATGGGGCGTATGTGCGATGCGAGAAGTTATACGAGTGCAGGCGCTCTGAAGTGTGAAAAGCATGGCCGAGAACTGAATTAAATGGCAGCAAACTTTTTTTACATAATATGTGGCGTACGCATTTACGAGGCAAACCATTTTGTGCGGTCATTAAATTAAAGCGATGGCTTCCAAATTATTGAATTGAATATATTAAAAACTTTGAGGAAATATGAAATTCAATAAAAGGATATTGGATTACGATTTTGACAGCTCCATTCCGTTTGGGTCAGTCAGAATGATTTATCGAGCCCAACGGGAGTACGCACCCTTCAACGTTTGGCAATGCCTTTCTTCACAAAGAAAGACTGCGCCAAATCATCAATATTAATTTAACCACCGAAGTACGCAACGGTGCCGGTAAACAGACAGATACCGAGACAAAAACCACATTAAATACACGATAAATCAAAGGTTTGTTATTAAAGCCGCCCCCCTGCAACGCAAGCCGAGCGGACGGGGGCGTGGCAGCTGGCCATCGAACCACAAGCACATTGAACAGCACTGTCTGCCCCCGATAATAACTCATCAACGTGCCGCAACGAAAAAAGAAATATTTGACACAGAGACAAACAAACAAAAAAACAAACAAACAAACAACAGACTAAAGACTAAGCCCGCGCTTGTTGGCTTTAACAAAAGTTGCAATATTTTTATTATTTTTATTGAGCGCCGCAAATTGGCCCATTGTTGTTGGGACAGCGTGGTCAGCTTTTATGGCCCTATCATAAAGGCATTTTGCTTTTGTTTTGTAGTTTTTGATTTGATTGCAATTTTTGTGAGCTTGCTGTTGCCCTCTTGGTTTTGCCTTCTTTATTTCTATAGGCCCGACGCGTTTATTGGATTTCACGCCATGGCTAATGACCAAAACATTTACGAGCACACTTGGCGCCTTTGGGGGCCCAGCTAACCAGAATCGGAAAAAAACTCTTAGCACGCCTGGAGACTGACTTTGCCCGGTTGGCTGGCTCCGGTTTTCTGGCTGTACCCAGGGTTTTATACTCGAATTTAAAGGCGAAAGTGAGCCACGCTCCGAAGGAGTCAAAGACAATTTTAGAGTAGTCTACATAGCAATTTCCAGCTTTTGATTTCTTTAAGCCAAGACTTTTAATGCCCTTGCACTCAGTATAAATTTCGGAATAACAACACTTTGAGAGTGAGATAGCTGGAAGAGTTCTGCCATTATTTTACTTTTTTTGGACCAAATTTAAACAAAAAACAATAAAAATCTATTTTCCTGTGAAATAAATAACGTGATTAAGTTGAAAACAATTTCTGAAATTTGATAAGCATTAAATTTTATTTCAATACTTATTTTAGCGCTAGTCACGTTATTAAAGAGTTGATAGCACAAATCTTGAAGAATTTTTCAGCTAGACCTTGACTTTAAGAACCCGCCATAGTCGATTCTGGGCAATCTAACTGCCTCGAAGTGCTAAGCTTGGGATCCCGATTGAAAGCCTTCAAATATGCCATAAATACTGCAGGCCAACATAAAGCGACTTATCGCCTGCTTTCTGCCGCCAGTTGGTCTGACAACAATTTGTTCCAGTTTATTCGCTTGATCCCTTATCAGCCAGAAAATCCCGTCTTCTGCGTGCAATTTACGCATAGACCATTGACGCCAAGGGGCCACAAATGGGGCTATTCCGTGAGAGGGGAGGGGTGGGTGAGTTTTCATAAATTGAGTTGGAAACAGACAGAAGGGTGGGAAAATCTGTACCCCAAGCTTGGAGGGAGTCTTCTATCACACTTTGGGGCTGAACTACTTGTTCCAGCTTCGCCCTGTCATGTCGTGTAATTGGTGTTAACAGCAAGGACTTCGAGTACAGCTGCCACAATCTCAGCGCTGCACCAGAACGAGAACCATAGTAATTTGTGTGAACCGCCGAAGTCTGTGACAGCCAGCGGGAACAGCAAACATAAATCCAAGAAATGCCTTGGCGCAGTCCTTGATAATTGAATGTATTGTCCTCGGAAAGGGCTGTGTATCCGAGCTATTCATAGAGCAGAAGACGCCCATTTGCATACATGTCTGCCGCGACACGAGACAGACATTCGGGGAGACCAGACCGTTTTATCTGTTTGCTCTATTCATGGGGACTCACCATTTATGAGCACTGCAGAATATTGTTGAACCTCTTCGTCCCTCATGGACTTCAAGGAACTGATGACGCAAGTGCCCAGCCAGCCTCTGTTTTGTCTTGAATTTCGTCATCCATCCAGCAACCTGTTGATATTCGAGCTACAACACCGATGAGTCATCAAAAAACATGGCGGGGCAGCCATACAATCGAGCTCTTTGTTGTGTAAGGCATCTACTA